GTATATATATATATATATATATATATATATATATATATATATGTATTCTCTCTTAAGGTCTGCAATAAATTCTGACTAACAGACCTAGGATATTTATTACAGATTAAGGCATTTTGTTTCTCTCTTTTTCTTTTCACACCGTGAGTTTAAAATCGTACCAAGAAGAAATTTAGAATCAAAATCAGTTCAGGATAAAAATCATTTCAGGAAAAAAACATTCCATTATTACTACAGCAAACATCAAATCTATTTTGCACAGGTTGGGGCTGAAGAGGAACTAGATCAAAAAAAGAAAATTAAAGAAGTATATTTCCTTCTGCTTGAGACTTAGATGCTTAGATGTGCCCTCAGAATGGCAATGCACATACATTCTTGGGTAATCCTGTTTAAATCACAAATATAAGTCTCAGGTGCTGATCATTTGTTGCCTCTTTCATGTCTTGACCTTTATATGGTTTCAGAGAATTCAAAGAAGACATGAAATCCTTTAAATTCAAATCCATTAAATTTAACTTGTCAAAACGCACAATACAGAAGAAGAGTTTGTCTAACAAACTCTGACAGGCGTGATGTATCAGCCATTTTTTTCAATATACCAAACATTTCTGCAGTCTATTTTGTGGCAGATGTTGGAGATATATTTTAAATTTAAAATTACAATGTTTGCTACAAAATTTGCCTGCACCAAATGGATGTGTTCCTGTCAGGGTAAGTGGAAAGCACAACTCAGCAGGATGCAATGCTTAAGTATGCCCCAGCTCTGCCCTAAACTGTTGCCCAGTCAATAGAAGGGAATGATTTTCAGTACTGTGAGTTCTTTAGAGGGAGGAACTACTGCACTGGGAATGTTTCCTAAGAACATCTCAAATATCAAACAATTAATTATTTTGTATGTGGACTTCTTGGCTTCGTACATTTTCTGTGCAGTGATTATGGTGTTTCCACTCCAAAAAGTCATATATATTTTGAAGTATATTTCAGAAAATTGTCTCGGTTGCTTTTAAGGTCACAAGAGACATTCCTTGCCTTTTCTGGGTATTCTCTGTTCAGCAAGAATGCACTTAGTATAGAAGGATAAATTATGGTAGCCCATGGGAGCCAGTGCCATATTGTGCAACTCACACAAACACCCATGGGCCTGCAGAGGAGAGCTCTGTTTGTTCAAGAATAAGATCTGGTATTTCTCACACAGGAGGTCATATTACCTTAAAATGCCTCTGCCCCGTAGGTCTGCCTGATGAATAACATCTGCTCCCATAACCACAGCCTCTGCAGCAGGAGATGGGCTCTGGCAGGACAGAATCAGCAGCAGTGCACAGGCAGTGCTGCAGCCACGACGAGAAACAGAGCCCTCTCTGTGCACCTGGTGCCAGCTCTCAGAATCTCTGCTGCTCACAGTGACTCTGAGATACCTACAAGCCTTTTTTTCCCAGCCTGGAGTCAAGGAAGGAGTCAGGATTTTTCTGTTCTCATTTTCAATGTTGTTTATTATTTTTTATCTAATACAGTCTTTCTCCAACCTGCTGAGGTCTGTCAGGCAGGTCAGCTCATGGCACACTGCCCGCCCTCGAAGCAGTGTTATCTTTTTATACTAAAAACAACATGTACATTATTTACCATAACTTCCCAATAACCTATCACCTATGTTAGACAGGGAGTTTCTACCTTAAACCAATCCAAAAGGGCCACCATCACCCCGAAGATGGAGGCTAAGAAGAAGAAGGAGAAAGACTGGACACGCTCAAATACCTCCATCTTGCCTCCTGAACCCCATTCTAAAAATCCCAAAATGTATTTTTCACCCTGTGACAGACTAACTATTATTCTTCTTAAACTTTCTTGGCTTGTAATTCTTCATATAAAGGTGGTAATTTGCTCCATGGGTCAAAATCAAAGGCACAGGGGTCGTGGGCTCTGTGCCAAGGCCTCTGAGCCCCCTGGTAGGGGCTGGAGCCATCCAGGACAATCAGAGGAATTCCCTGGGTTCCAACACCAGCCCTGCTGGAGCCAGCAGGAGGGAGCCCAGAGCATTGCAGGGGCTCCTGAGTTAGGAAGGTTGCACACCCCTGCCTCTGTGTGGGTTATTTAGTACTCTGAGGAGTGACCATGTATGTCAGTGGAAATCAGATTTGTCTCTCCAGCCCTACACCCTCTCATCAACACGCACAGCAGAATATGCTTCACTTTACAATCACACTGAGGCAGGCAAAGGGAAGTTTTTACTGGATGTTTTACAGCAGATGTTTCCCTGTACCTCAGAAAGTTGTGACTGCCCTTGTAATTTGTAGCCCAGAGTTACCAGAGTTCTTAAGGGCTGAAAGGTTTTATGAAAAAAGAGAGAAAGAGACTCCTTTGCTCTGCTTCCATTCATATTAACACAATGAAATCCTATTCCTAGCAAGTAAGATCAGCTTTTAGCTTTCATCCATCTCCTTGCATCCCACAGATCCCCATAAAATCAAGGGAATTGTTACTGAATTGCCAATATTTCTAGTGAAAATGGGTAAAAATTTCACCTGAAATGACTCAGGAATAAAGTCAGCTGGGAAATGGTAATTTGGTTTCACAAGTTTCAAGTTTTTTAAATTAATTTTGTTATTCAGTGGAAAGAAAATAGAACTTCTGAACAGTTTTTCAAAAATATATTGTAGAGAAACACTTGTTTCCTTATAACAAAGCATACTTTTTTCATCTCTAATCCACTCTTACTCATTTCCATTTTGCTCCCACACTCACTTTCTGTCACCAGAGGTAGCTGCAGTGCACCAGATCATGAACCTTCTTCAGCTGATTTTTTTTTTTTATCAATACATCTCTATGCATGATTTTTCCTCTTCATTAAAAATGCATTCTCCTAAGAATGTTCATAAACAATTCCATAAACAATTCTGCTTGGGAGAAATTCTTAGCTTGTCCAAAAAATTGATGCCTTACACATCTAACTGGGTAACCAGCTGCTCAGCAGTGAAGCTTTGGGAGAAAAATAGACTGGGAATTGCTGAAATGTCAGTCCTATATATTAAAGGTGTCCTGTGCATGTTTTTGCACAGAGAAGAAATTCTGCTACATTCCACTCAGCCTATTCTTAATGTACAAAGCACACACTTAACTAAAGCATTCTTCTTCCTCATTTTATCTTGGACCTGATCTCAAGGATTTTAGTGTTGTACCTGTAAATAGATAGCAATAAATAAATGTCTGTCGAGCCTTATGTTCCTCTATTTATTCATGTATTCACTTCAACATAGAAATGGCAAAAAAATTTTAGCTGTTTTTGACAGCAAAGGCAAATGCATGAGCCCCACCCTCTGCCAGTTGTATTTCTCTAAGTATAAATTTCAAGATTACAAAGTTTCCTCAGACAAAAAACCTTTTACCCTGGTTTAGCATTTTGACTTTTCCACAGAGACAGGCTTGCTTATTTTTCCCAGAGTTCAGAAGGGGTTTTGCCACTGTGCTGACATTTTGCATCATCTTCTTTCTTTTGCATCTGGAAAAAAAAAAAAGTGAAAAAAAAATAAAAAGCACAGTTCTGAAATGACAGTAAAAATTCATTGTTCCTTTGAAGTGACGTGGACTGCATATGTCTGTGCATCAGCAGGTTAGTCAGAGGGACCAGAGCAGAATTTTCTAATCCCTGGTGTATAGAGGAACCATACATAGATTATTTTTTTGTCTTCCTTTGATTGCACCACCATGTTTAGAGACTCCTTAAAGAAGTGATGCCTTATGTGTGAGGGGGAAAACAGCAGAATATTGTAATTAGAAAAAAACTCAAACTTCCCTGTCACATCTGGCCTTCATGCTTCAATAATCCCTTGAGCACAGCTCATAAATAATGAGCACTCAGATGCCGTCCAATTCTAGTGCATTCTATTGACTTCCAGGGGATGCACAAAAGGATAGAATATATCCTGGAGGCAAAAGCATGCACTGTTTTCTTAGTCTTCTATCAAATGTGTATCACTAGCAATTTAATTACTATTTATTGAGCACTGTCAGTAGGGTATAAGGGGTACAAAAGGAATTGCTATGTGTAAACAGAACTTATTTATATCTGTTTCTTTATTTAGCATTACCCTGCTGTCTATTTCAGACTTTTTGCTTTAGCTTTATGTGATGCAGATTAAAAATATTGTTATTTGAAAAATAATGGGAGAAGTGCAATCAAGTAAGCATCAAAAGATAATAACATGTTTAAAAAACACTCAAACAAACAACAATCCCTTATCCAGGTACAAATACTCAAAAGTAAGTAAAAAATAACTTTAATCTTACTGAAATTGAAAAAAAATAGAAATCAAATATATATGCATCTAACTAGATAGGTAAATTATCAACTAAGGTGAGTTTATGAAGTTTGTTAAGTTCAACAGACCGTTTATTGACAAACTAATTATTTTGATGAAGTGACAAAATCTTTGTAAGTCCTGCCTGAAAAAGAAACTGCAGGGTAAGAAAACTGGGGGGAGATATGATAAAAAACCATTCCATAAACCTCACAGAAGCATGCCCAGGTGGAAAATTAAAGACAGAAACAGAAATCTCCTTCCCGTGATCTGTCTCTCAGTAGATCACAGCTTCACTTTGGGTTATAACAATGTTACACTCCCTCCAGTCCAGACTTTTTGTCTGGAATAGGGTTTGAAATGAGCAAAGTGAACTATTTTGTCAGCAAGAAAGAAAATAATATGCAGGTTCAGTTCCAAAATATTCAGGTCAATATTAGTTTTAAAAAATAACAAAGAGAAAAAGACATCTGAGAACTTAATGTAGTTTTCAGTCCAAAAGTGTGCCTTTCTCACATATTTAGAGCTAGCCTATTGTTCTATTATTCCTAAACTGTACACTGTGTTTCCTTTAGCCAAAGCTGACTGGTTTTTCCTGAATTCATCTTCCAGCTTTAAACTTTTGCCAAGTCGTGCTTTTTTGGATCCATTCCTTAAAGGCAAAGGGGCTAACTTCCTGATGGTATCTGTTTTCTTTTCTTTCCTCTGCAGGCTTAAGTTGTAAGTGGGTATCTTGTTACCAGAGGCGAAATGAATAACTCAACGTACATAAACTCTTCCTCTGAAAATGTGATGGCCTTGGAGAGCCGCTATAAAACTGTCGAGGTGGTGTTCATCGTCCTGGTGGCAGGGTCCCTCAGCCTAGTCACCATAATTGGCAACATCCTGGTCATGGTGTCCATCAAAGTCAACAGGCACCTCCAGACTGTCAACAATTATTTCCTGTTCAGCCTGGCCTGCGCTGACTTGATCATCGGCATCTTTTCCATGAACCTGTACACCCTGTACACTGTGATAGGCTACTGGCCCTTGGGGCCCGTGGTGTGTGACCTCTGGCTGGCTCTGGACTACGTGGTCAGCAACGCCTCAGTAATGAACCTGCTCATTATCAGCTTTGACAGGTACTTTTGTGTCACCAAGCCCCTGACGTATCCCGTGAAGCGGACCACGAAGATGGCCGGCATGATGATCGCAGCCGCCTGGGTGCTGTCCTTCATCCTCTGGGCCCCTGCAATTCTCTTCTGGCAGTTCATTGTGGGAGGAAGGACTGTCCCAGATGGGGACTGCTACATCCAGTTTTTTTCCAACCCTGCTGTCACTTTTGGCACTGCCATTGCAGCCTTCTACCTGCCTGTTATCATCATGACTGTCCTTTACTGGCAAATCTCCCGAGCCAGTAAGAGTCGGATAAAGAAAGGAAAAAAGGAAGCTGCCCAAAACCAAGAAACAGTTTCCCCCAGCCTTGTCCAAGGTAAAATAGTGAAACCAAACAATAACAATATCCCGACCAGCGGGGATGGGTTGGAGCACAGCAAAATTCAGAATGGAAAAACCAGTGAAGAGACTGTGACCAATAACTGTGTTCAAGGGGAGAAGGAGAGCTCCAATGACTCCACCTCCATCAGTGCAGTCGCTTCCAACTTGAAAGAGGATGAAGCTACCAAAGATGCCAGGCAAGCTTCTGCCTCCCAAGACCATGTCAAAGCAGAGAACTCCAAGCTGACATGCATCAGGATAGTCACCAAGTCCCAAAAGGGGGACTGCTGTGCCCCTACCAACACTACCGTGGAGATCGTAGGCACGAACGGGGAGGAGAAGCAGAACAGCGTGGCCCGGAAGATCGTCAAGATGACAAAGCAGCCAGCCAAAAAGAAACCACCCCCTTCTAGAGAGAAAAAGGTGACAAGGACGATTCTGGCCATCCTCCTGGCCTTCATCATCACCTGGACCCCATACAATGTGATGGTGCTCATCAACAGCTTCTGCACATCCTGCATCCCCGGCACCGTGTGGACCCTGGGTTACTGGCTCTGTTACATCAACAGCACCGTCAACCCCGCCTGCTACGCGCTCTGCAACGCCACCTTCAAGAAGACCTTTAAGGACCTTCTCATGTGTCATTACAAGAATATAGGAGCTACAAGGTAAAAATTATAATGAAAATAATTATGGAAAGGGTGGAGAAGTTCCAAATTAAATTTCAAAAAAACCCTTTGATGCTACAGCACTTTATGGTCTTCTATGGAATGTGCAATCCAGGATGTTAGTGGAAATACTGATAAGGGGCATTGGCTGTACCCCTGAGGACTACACTTTAAAACATTTTTTTAATAAATGAAAATAAATCTTTGGGACACGGGGATGTTTGAGAAATTATTCAAGTATGTGGACTGGAGGCACAGTTCCTTACTTTCTGAGAGTATTCTGCAGAAGGGCTTTAAAGTCTATGATTTTTGGTCATTCTGTGTAAAATACTTGTTCTTTCATTCTCTTTTTCTTGTGTTTTTTCCTGTGTGTGTTTATTATGTCTTCATCCAGGTAAAAAAAAAAAAAAAAAAAAAAAAAAAATTTTAATAATAACTGTGTGGAAGAGGCATAGGAGTTTGGAAGATCATTGCATAATCCAAATCAATCATGGCAGAAATTTTCTAAAGCTCAAAGTTGTCTAAAGTTGTTTTGCCACTGTCATGTAAGAAGCTTAATGTTAGGTAAATCATGATGAAAGTTTTTTCTGTTGTTTATGACACCACCATTTCCAAAACCACATCAGTTCTGAAAGTTTTCTTATGCACAACATGTAATCATTGTATATTGTTACAAGTCTGCTGCTTGCCCCATCCCAGGGGCTTTTGTTCTGTGACTTCCTCATCATGTCAAGATCAAAGTGAAAAGACTTGGTCTCGTCCAGATTGCTACATGCCAAGACTTCTTCAGCATCCATGTAAACCAAAGCTTTTGAGACAATTTTGTTCACTTTATTCATCACGTGACATCAACCTGTGGATTTGTCTTTTACCTTCATCAGCCTTTTCTTCCTTTCTGTACCTTACTTGTCCAGGGCAAGACTGAACATCAAAAAAAAGAAGCTGTAAATTTAAAGGTCTCATCCAGTCAGCCACCATGGTGGTCAAAAAAAGGTCTCAGCTAAAGAACAGAAATAAGATTATTACTAGAAAAATGAAAAGCTATATCCATTTAAATTTGGATGTACAGATGAAGAGGTATGTTGAGGCATCACAGAATCAACAGTTAATATTAGATGACCATGCTCTTAACCTGTCAGAAAATAAGTCTATGATTAATTTATTGAGGTAAAAATTAAGATAGACTGACATACCCACCTGGATCAAGCTCTGCTAAGCCCTTAGTATGAAACTGGGGTCCTTTCTGGGTGAATCCTGCACAAGATGTTTGCTTTCTGGAAAAGATACTGGCCACATTGCCTTGTATTACATGAGAGCCATATTTTGACTGTAAGGCAAGGGGTAACACTAATAAAAATGCAGACAGGAAAACTGTGATTATAGAAAAACAGATATTAAAGTAGTCTTGATGGGAGTTTGGCAAGGGGTAAGTTCAATTATGTTTTGCTACTCGACACCAGGTGAAATTTAGATCATTTCTGCCTAACAAAGAATTTAGTATTACAATATTTGGTATTTACTGTAGCAAAACAAAACATTTTGTGGACAGGTCAGAGGGTATCAGATTATTGAAAACAGGGATTGTCTGGGAGTCATGCACATTTTATTTACTCCTTCTTAGTACCTCTAACTTGCAGGCCCTAACAAAGGTACATTTATATGTTTTCTTACCAAAAAGAACATAGACAATGCTTACCCAAAAAGAGCATAGACAATGTCCTGAGGATCTCTTTTCTGAAGTGAATGCCACCCACCAAACAGGACACAAATTCATTTTTTTATTTCATGCAACAACTGCAGTATTCCAAAATGCGCCTCAAAATAGCAGCCTCTGAGATTACAGAGAAATTAATCTTGCAGAATTAAGTTTTACATTTGACAAGCTTAATGGAAGACAGTGTCAAAGCACTCTGGTATCATGACAATTTTCATGTTTTGCAGCACAAGTTCCCAGCAGAAAGTGAAAATGAGGAGGATTAAACTGCAGTAAATGAAGGCCATGTTAAATTCCGGATTAACATGTCTTAATATGAAGTCATTGAATTTATACCCCTAGTGATTTCATCCTAATATAACTGTCTCTATACAGCCAGGGATCTAATTTTGCAACCCTCACTTGCCTTGAGTCATATCTACTATCACTGTTTTAATCTTCCTGCTTGTAAGAAAGAATAACTACATGACAAAGCTTGCCAAAATGAGCACTGCTTGCCTTTTAAAACTTCATTCACTATTTATCTTGACAGGTCAAAGGAAGGACTTACACATTCCTAGGTTGTTCAGTCTCTTAGAGTGTTAGAAAAATCCAGATAAAATCCCAAGATAAAATAAAATCAAATATGTTCAATTTCTACATCTGACTTCTTTAGAAAGGTTTCATAAAAGAAACACACCTGCTTCTTTCCTTCAGCAAGTGCTGTGGGTATCAATAGTTCAGGTACTCAAACTGGGAAATAATGGTTTGTATAGCCATACTTAATCTTAAAACTCTGGTTTTCTGGCAGGCCTGCAAATCCCTTATTCTCACATTTGAAGCTATCACTTGTCCATAATGAATTAGTCTAACAGATAAGGACACTCCTACAGGCTAAGAATTCTGGCAGATAGATTGAAATGATAATCCTTCATCATGTGATATGATGACACTCAAAATACCACAGGAAGAAAAGTATTTTGGGGCCAGCATTCATGAAAAAAATACAAGCAAAGGAAAAACATAATTTGGAAGTTTTCCAGCACTTTTCCCCAGCACCACCCTCACTTTTGATCTCAGAAGATGTTTTGATTTGTGTTATAGTATATTTAAAAGGCTTGCAGGACACACAGTCCTGTGTTTCCACCCTGTAACAGTTTATGGTACACTTATATTTGCAGACAATTAAACAGTGTAAAAATAGATGACATAGTGCAACTATGTATGGATACAAACATGCAAATACACACCCCTACACGGTTTATATACATGAAAAATAACCAACTAATATTCAAGGTATTGCATGGAGCCTTGTCTGCCTAGTGTGCATTGTCAGCTGCTGGGAGGTGCAGAGCCAACACTTATTTCACTGTGTCACCCCTCCTGAAGGCAGAGAAGAGGCAGAACATCCCCTCAGATATTGGGAAGTTCTTGAGTCTTCAGGTGGTTGTGGCTCAGTAAGACAAAAATGTGCTAATGGTCCAGAACCGCAAAATAATTTCTTCTTGAATATCCTTTGAGCTTTCATGTCTTTCCTTTGTGTCCCAAACCACGTTCCCCAGGTTTCACTTCCTCCTGAGTGATAGATCTGCAGGATGTAGATGTCAGTCTTGAAGAGCAGCTCTCCCTGGGTAACCTCGGCTTCCCTGGACCTGCACCCTGTGGTCCCCAGGGTGGCCCTGCTGCTGGAGCTGCCTCATCTCCACCTTCAGCTTGGCCAGAGGATCCCAGCAGCACATCCACACCATGTGCTGTGCTGGCCACTTCTGTCTCACATAGAAACCCAGCACACTGTGCATATGACCCATGAGAACAACAAGAAAAAGCAAAAACACCCCAAAAATTATAACCGACAACAAAAAACTGCAGCTAGAACTTCTTGCCCCCTTCTTTTCTTCCTCTTTCATTATTTCCAAAAAGATGCAGCCCACAGGGAGTGATTTGTGTTGTCATGGGACAGCCCTACATTCATGGGGCAGCCCTACCTTCATGCTCCAGGAAGAGAGCAGCAACTTGGAGATGCATCAATCCAGTGGGCAACTTTTCTGGGTATTAAGGAAGTCTGTGGTCAAAGAGAAAGGAAGAAAAGAAGAAAGAAAGAAATAAAAAGAAGGAGAAAGAAAATAAAGGAAAAGGAAAAGGAAAAGGAAAAGGAAAAGGAAAAGGAAAAGGAAAAGGAAAAGGAAAAAAATAAGGAAGAAAGAAAGAAAGAAAGAAAGAAAGAAAGAAAGAAAGAAAGAAAGAAAGCGAGAAAGCTGAAGCAATGTTTGAAATCCGTTTTCCAGTGAGAACAAAATCCAAGAAAAACTTGTCAGCATTCTTTCTGTTTGAGATTTTCATTTGATTTATTTGGAATCATAGGATCTATTGAAAGATAGCACTGTATTTGAATTTTGCCTGATGAAAAGCAGTCCAAAGACAACAAGCACATCTATATAGGTCAGATTGCTTTTTCTTGCTTTCTTTCATTGTTGGTTTTTTTTGGTTTTTTTTTTTGTTTTTTTGTTGTTTTTTTTTTTGCTGTACAAAAGCTCACAGAGATGGGAGTGTTCAAGCAGAGCCCAGAGAGATCAGTTGTTTGGCATTCACAAAGCATGAAGGGGACAAAAGCAAGTGCTAAATCTATCAGCCCTCTGCTTTATACTCTCCTGGTGGAGAAAAACATATTGACAAGAAGAGGTGCCTTCAAGGAGTGCGGCTGTGGTGAAAACAGCCCACACACCATTGAAGAGACCCTTGAAGTGGCCCAGCAGCTCCTGGCCTCTCATCCAGGGATAGGAGCAGGAGGGCAGTGACTTTTGTTTTTATGTTTTACTTCCTTATAGATTTCAATGTGTCCATCTGTCTATGGGAATTGCTAACAAACTCACTGTCCCCTTCCCTAATTTTGACTGATTTTGATCTCTGTTCTTCATTCCAATGAATGAATTCCTAAGGATGAGCGAGTGCTGCCTCAGGACATAGCTCCCAGTTTCTCCTTTGGTGCTGGGGTGGCACACTTTGAATTTTTCACCTCTGCTGACAGCATCTCTCCTTGCCACTCTATGCCCCAAAATTAATCATGGCAGTGGCCTAGCAGGACTGGATAGGTAAAGCATCCTGACAGCAACTTGCTGGAAACTTGGCATGAATGCAGCTTGGGGGCAGGAGTGGAGTAGAACCATGCTGTTGCTTTTTCTCTCTCCCCTAAAAATTCTTTGGAAAAATCTTCATTTTTTGACAAATTGTGGAGTTTCTGGGGGCTAGAATTCAAAGTTTTACATTAAAAAAAGGCAGGAAAACAAACTCTGGCCCTGTGCATGGGGAGTGTTTGCTAACAGTGAGTTTGGAGTTTAATAGTCCCAGATGACAGCAGTGCAAGTGGTAAAAATTGAGAGGCTTAAAAGAATTTAGCTTTTCTTTCACTACAGACACTTACAAGGGTATGATTTCTATACAATATTGCTCTTTCAGTTCTGGTATGTTACAAAACACTCTGGACTTTTAAGGAATCTTTCTTTTTTAAAGTTTGTAGAGAACCCTGCCTTGAAGGAACCTCAGAGATGGCCTTTAATTTTCTGTGGCCTCTCTTCTCTGCCTGAACTGTGCCTCTTCTGCCACAGTTCTACCAAAAATCTTTCCTTCTTACTTTAACAAGTGTCACCTGTGTTACAGCTTCAGGCTTGTAGTTTCACTTGCCTTTCAGGCACTGTGAATGCTGGTATTTAACCTCTCTAACCCCACCCAAAAACTGCCTTCCCTAGCATGCAGCATCCTCCTCCACTGAAGCCCAAGCTACTGTGTGGGCTGGCAAGTTCCATAAATCCTTTCTGCATAGGTTTTAAATTGGAAGTAAAACAAACCCTTCAATGAAACAAAGCCAAATCAGTTCCTTTGCTCCCCAGTTGTGCTATCTCTGTGTTAGGCACAACAGTGGACAATGTCCAAGAGTGAATGTGCTCTTAGTGGGATATCATCCTGCCACATGCACGGATTAATTTTCTGCTCTGTGCCACAGAAAGGCAGCCCTGCCTTCCCTTGAATCCCCTTTCATTCATGAGCTTACTGGCAGAGTATTCACTGAGAGCCCAAACCTAAGAATGTAATTACAGCAAGGCTGAGTTGAACATCTACCACAACCAATGCAATTATTTCTCCTATATTTTTATTCCCTCCTTTTGCAATGCCTCTTTTGCTGCACTGTGGAGCCAGTGGGTTACATGAGCATATCAGTCCTCCCAGGCCTCATATTTCAGAGTACTGGGTAGATTTGTTAAACACAT